GTCTTCAAACGCTGAAACGGTTACAGAGCCGTGTGTGAGCGGCCTGGTTTTCTTGACCGTAGACCGTGATGGCCAAATCAGTGGGTCGACAGGGTCGAGCGACTTCACTGGGATTGCGCGTACACTCCCGCCCCACCCACAGCCAGCCAATCTGGCAATGGTTTCCACAGTATGTCGTGTTCGTTCACTCATCCGACTTGGTTGGGCGTCGTGCCCGTTAGGTTAGCCGGGTTTTTTCACCGGGGCCCTGTGCACTCTGGTGATTTCATTTTCGCACACTTAAATACAACAGTGATCCGTCAATCGGTAAAGCAGGTTGCTTTGCTGGCTTGGTGGCTCGCATGATGAGATTAGGATGTCACAAGCGTTGGAAATCACGTGATGCGTAATCGGGTTTAAGACTGGTTTAATCACTCGGTTGCTTTCAGAGGACTGAACACAGTATGGGAGTGTTGAACCAGTTTTCTTGTTCTCCGAAGCAACGACAGTTTCGACGCAACTGTTGGAGCGATTAACCCAGGCATTCTATCGCTATCCCATAACTGCGACCCTAGAATATGGTCGGCTGTGTGCTGTTAATAAACGGGACAGAGGTTGGCTATATATAATAAACCGGTATACCCACGGTAAACGGATAATATAACGGTTTACGGTGTGACGGGGGTTGTGACAACACAGTACAAAAATTGTACAGTCCAACACCAAAAGGGACTAATTTTCAAGTGATAGAAGAATAGCATTCTGAAGTAGTTCAAATTCAGGCCAAGAAGAACAAATCAGCAATGCTTAGTTACGTTTTATCTTTAGCTAAGTTGATCATATATTCTCATATCATCAGAACAGTGGTTTCAAGCGAATGCACTTGTTTGATAAATTCTTTTTTTTAGGTTATAAGACAGGCAGTAACAGAATGACTGACACACGCATGAGAAGTTCTGTTCCAAATAACTGTAACGTGCAACGGAGTAAGGGCACTGAGGAACAGCGTTTCCTTGAAGGACGAGGGCCAAACGCGAATCTGGAATAGTAACAAAAATCGACAAGCATGAGCCAGAGGCCCAGTAAATTATGCACACAACATACACAGTCAAAAACCTAAATGGCGTCAATCACACGCCAGCCAACTGTATTACATAACAATTAACATAAAGTCCGGCAGTAATGTAGATTAAGGGAATGTATCAGGCCGGACAGATGGGGTTTTAGCAGACTCGAAAGCGATAGATAAAGGCCACTAATTAAGAGCAGAAGTCAGCTAGGGTTGGCGGCAAAGCAGTTCCTTTATGTTGAATTATGGTTCGATCGATTGCAACCTCGCCATGGAAAGTGGAGCGTCTATACGAAGTTCCTTTGTGTACACAGCTCCGGTTGAAGTATGTTAATAGTGTCAACTTCAGCTGCACCCAGTGGACGTGGGCGCACATTCTTTCCGAATTCACCGGATATGCGATAGAACACTTTGTACGTTTGATAAATCGCAGTGTGATGACCGGAGTGGGTGAGATTTGCAGAATAGAGCTGTTAATGCTTTGGGCTAAGCCCTCACTGAGCCAAACCGGATTATGCTCCAGGATTCTTAGACAGTTGTCTGGTGCGGTCAGTTGAAATTATCTGAACAAGGCAATGAGGTGTTATGATGTGAGACGATAACATGTCGGTTTTGAAAGATGATGTTGAGTTGGACCGCGGCAACTGTTTACTCCAATGCTCCGTTTAGTTTTCAAGTGAGGAGCTCACTTGTACCGTCCTCTTTGAAGGTTAGGCGCACGAATAGGTTTTCCTTTCCTCTCTCCTACTTAATAGACATTCGAATTTGCTAGTTGGTGAATCAGGCTTCAGCTACCTTTCAGAATAACCACTGCTTCTTAAGATGTCTTCAATGAATACCACATCAAGTACCAAGGGATCTTGCGTGCAAGTTCTTTCTTCTCGATATGTTGATGTGTGAATCACTTTCATGAAGAGCACAAATCTAGCAAGGTTGGCATGTTGATCAACTCACTTTTCTTTCGATGGACTTTACGTTTCAACGTGCCGCCCTGTCTTCTTGTTACCGGAACGTCGATATAGAAAAACGAGACAATTATTATTTCCTTTTTTTACGGGTGAAACTGGTCGATTAGTCAATAAAACTAATTCCCCTACTTCAACTTCTTCTTTGTACAGTATGCATATGTCATCTACTTATCGGAAGTAGACCTACAGTACAAGCCTTGTTATGAAAAATCCACCAGAAGTGGACTGAGAGGAGAACTTATGACAAACCATTGATTCTATTGTGGCACTGATTGCTTTAATCGTAACTGTATGTCCAGTATGCAACGTGGTGATAGCTCGAAAGAAAGGTATATGAGTGCTTGATATTAATTCGTTGGACCACAGACGTGTCATTAGTAATGGTACCTTTGTAGAAGCACGCATATACTAATCAGTCAGATATTACCCCTTTTGTAACGGTAGAGTTTTGAAAGAAGAATTCATCTGAAAGATAACCGTGTCCAAAACTATTGTCTTAATTAATTTTACGACCCCACCTGATAGAGAAAGACAAGAACAAACGCAAGACCACGATC